TTTTTTCATAATGGTAACATTTAACATTTAGGTTTTGCTTGGTTTACTTAAAGAAATTGACGAGAAATCAATCCTTATATATTTTCTCATTCCTTTCTCATATTTGGTAATGCTTGTCTTTGATTTTCTCATTGGAATGGAAAATGAAACCCAAAATAGTTCGAGGGTTTCATTCCCCCTCCTATTTTCTCATAAACTAGCAAACCGTTTTTCATGTATGAACTTACCAAAGGTGCCGAAGCCCTTTTTCCTGCTTATCAAACGCAACCTTAGGGAATATTGGGTTTGTTTATGGAGTGGATTAAAACGTTTCTAAATAATCAAAAACACTTCTAATAATGTTTGATATAAAACTTAAAAAGCTTGAATCATAAAAACACCTTTTACTACGTATTGTATTTAAGAAACACATGATAGATGCTTCTTTGAAAATAACTTACTTTGACCCAAAAACAAAAATTAAGAAGTAGTTACTTTTTCCAAAAACCACTTTCATTTCTAATTGAAATTTCAACGTGCATAGCCAACGGAGTCTAGCCAAAATGACATTGACTTGCAGATCAGTGGTTTTAAATTAAAATCCCTATGATACCTTAGCAGTGTGTAAGTGAGAAGCCCCCTCTACCATATTGTTTAGACTCTCATTTGTACTTAAAAAAAAAAAAAATCAACTTGCATAGAAGTCTAAGATAGTTTTCGAAAACTTGGAAGTTTTAAGTCGACTTTGTGCTTTCATATTCCCCTACTGGATCAGTTTTTCTGTAGTTAGGCCCAAACTAATGGGCCAGCACGAGTTTCAAAACCTGAAAACAAAAAGGAATATTGGCCTCCACAAAGAAGAAAAAACAATAGAAACTTTTGAGGCCCAAAGTAGGCCCAATTTCGAGCCCTGAAGCGGGAGCTCATTAGGGTTTCGTCATAAAGTGGAGGTATATAGAGCTGCGACTGTGAGTGTTCGTAGTTTACATAGATCATAGAGAGAGAGAGAGAGAGAGCGGCTTCGGACTTGGGACTTAGGAGCAGTGAGGGAGGGTCGGCAGCCGGCGTAGTTCACCTGACAAGATGGTTCGTATTTCATTTTTCGATGGCACCTTCATCTATGGCTTTTCTTTGAATTTGCATACCATAAATTCTAGAGCTTGGACAATTAAACTTTTATAAGTCGAATAAAGCTTGTGAACCCAGTTCTGCTGCTTCTTGTTGTACCAATTCTGTAGGGTCCGAAAATTGATACCTTGTTTAGAGCTGATTTGTTTTTGTTCTGGTTAGCCCATTATGGAAAATTGTTTGATTATGGTATTCTAAACGATGAGAGGGGAGAGTAGGCGAAGACAAGCGATGTAACTGTAAAAGAAATTTTAGGCACTGTATTTGATCGAAAACCCGTATGGCTGTATGTGTATTATTGGATCTTCATGTCATCTTGAATGTCATGCATTTGAAGTGGGATAATTTGATTTGTAGACCTATATTTGGGTTTCATTTTCTTAATTTTATTTCCTTTCCACAACAGGCGCGAGGATTGAAGAAGCATCTGAAGAGGCTCAATGCCCCGAAGCATTGGATGCTTGACAAACTTGGTGGTGCATTTGTAAGTTTCCTTTTTAGCTGTGCAGTGTTTGGTATTTCATATAACGTATTCAATGTACTAGTTGAGAATTTTAAATGATGTGTTTTCTTTTTTCTTAGGCTCCCAAGCCTTCTTCTGGACCTCACAAATCCAGGGAATGCCTGCCATTGGTCATCATCTTAAGAAACCGATTGAAATATGCTCTAACATACCGTGAGGTCATTTCCATTTTGATGCAACGACATGTTCTGGTTGATGGGAAAGTGAGGACTGATAAGACCTATCCTTCTGGTTTTATGGGTATGCACAGCACTATATTCTTGGATATATTACTGCTTCATCTGTTCTTAAACATTATTCATGTTGTATCAATACAATGATTGGTAATTAATTAGAAGCATTTTCTTGGACAATCTTGCTCTGTAGTAACCAAGTGTTGGCTACTATGGAAGAAAAATCTTTTAATTTGGACCTATCTTCCATATATTAGGAAGTTTACATATATAATATCAATTAGAGAATGTTTCTAGTATCATAGGAAGTTTGTATGTTTGTCCTTCGTGCACATTTTTGGCATAAAGTGGCCTTTTTGATGGTTGGAGCATGACCAATACATGTCCTGGAATAGGCAGTCAGTACATATTGCTTGTAATTGTAGTATTTTTGTTATTGTTATTTTTGGTTGAAATGAAATGTAATACTTTTTGAGCATTCTGCTTTACTCTTACAGATGTTGTTTCAATCCCCAAAACAAACGAGAACTTCCGTCTCCTCTATGACACCAAGGGTCGGTTCCGTCTCCATTCAATCAGGGATGAAGAGGCAAAGGTGTGTAGATGTTCTTTACTAGAGTAACTCTACTTATCTGAGGTCATATAATCTCTGGCTGTGAATGATTCATTATTGTCAGATATAGAATCATTCAAGTTGTCCTGCCCAAATATTTAGTTCATGATAGACTTATTTGAGATAAGCAAACACAGCTATAACACTGTATGCCATTCTTTTAAGTTTTTCTATATGGAAATGTATGGAATCATTCAAGGTCACTGGCTGGAGATCTGTTCTCCATGTGGAGAATTTTGTCTCATGTACATGCCATTTCAAGTCTGTATATATACATTGTCAGAAAATATTGAAAGTCTTGCTTGTCCAGGATAATATGATACTCGTTTTATTTGTTTTTAATCAAAGTTATGGATTTCATGAGGTAGAGTGCTGATATTGTAGTCTGCATTTCTTGCAGTTCAAGCTTTGCAAGGTCCGGTCTGTGCAGTTTGGACAAAAAGGTATCCCATATATTAACACCTATGATGGGAGAACAATCCGTTACCCAGACCCTCTCATAAAGGCTAATGACACCATTAAGCTGGACTTGGAGACCAACAAGATCACTGACTTCATCAAGTTCGATGTTGGTAATGTCGTCATGGTGACTGGTGGAAGGAATAGGGGCCGTGTTGGAGTAATCAAGAACAGGGAGAAGCATAAGGGAAGCTTTGAGACAATCCATGTCCAGGATGCAAGTGGACATGAATTTGCCACTCGGTTGGGCAATGTGTTCACAATAGGCAAGGGGACCAAGCCATGGGTAAGCCTTCCCAAGGGTAAGGGTATTAAGCTCACCATTATTGAAGAGGCCAAGAAGAGACAAGCAGCCCAAGCCACAGCCACAGCTTAAATGGTCGTGGGTGAAAACAATCTTTGAACTATTTTGGCAATGTTCACTTTTATTCTTGTAGTCTTTACCTATTAGCTTTGGAATTTATGATGCAAATTTTGTCTTGTTTATTTTGTCTCTCGTTTCTCATCTTGATACAAATAATTTAGTTGTTTCAATCCCGACTTTAAATTCGTGTTACTTTAAAAGTAAATTCTTGCTTGGCCACTTGAATAGTGTCTAGTTATTCCTGGTCGTGCACCTACGTTTGTGAATGAATAATGTTTAATTTTAAAAATAAAGTTATTTATTGAAAACAATAGAAGCACACTAAGAAATACAATGGATGGCAAGAAACCATCCAAAGCCCAAACATAACATAAGAGTGAGGAACGAGAGCGTAATCTTTGTTGTGGTATTTACAAGTAAAAAGGTTAGAGTTTGTGGACAACCAACAATCTTCCAAGTTAGAAAACATACATGTATTATTGCCTTGTATGTAATGTTCTTCTGTTTCATAAAGAAAAATCTTTCTATGGAGGTTGGACGTTGGAGCTTCCTTCCTTGACAAGGTTTAAAACCTATGCGTGCACATTTTGCAAAACAGTTTATTGGAAAGCAACAGAGAGAGAGAGAGAGAGAGAGAGAGAGAGAGAGAGGGTTTAGGTGAAAGCTTGACTTTGGCCTGGAACTCTAGAGCTAGAGAGCCAATAAATCCTTGTTTTTCATTTTTCTCCCAGAACGAAAACGGAAACGAAAGCACTTCTCTCTCTCTCTCTCTCTCTCTCTCTCTCTCAAATTCGGTATATTTCTTGGGGTTTCAGGAATAATAATCAGAGAAGCAAAGTCTCTGGTGAGTTTCGATTTGTTTAACACAAGAGCATACGAATTGGAATTTGGAATGGGGGTGGTTTGGTTTTGTTTTACTTTGCCAATATTTATACTGCTAGTTTTGTCTTGGTAAATTTTCATGTTTTGCTGCACCCATATTTCATTTCATTTGTAAATTTTGTGTGCTTTGGTTGCACGTTGCAAATATTAATTTTGCTTCGTGTGCTTATGCTTGGGAGGATTCTGTAGAGATAGTTCGCTTTTTGATATTGTGAAATGGTAGGCCTTTGTCAATCTTTAATACTTGTTTCTCACTGGTTTTGGATCCTCTGCTTTTTGCCTTTCATTTCACCCAACTATATTAAGTGAGATATCTCTTTTTTAATTTCCACCCAGCTATTTTGAGGTGAAAGTTTGACCTTAAACCTCAAAAATATGGCTGAGCTTGGAATATATATCATTTTCTGCAATTTCAGGGACATTATTTTGGAAGTAGATTCTTCAGTCCTCTCTCTCTCTCTCTCTCTATGTATAATTTTCCTTTTTTTCTGGTAATGAAATGGTGCAAGTCTTGGGAATGTCAACTAAACTTTAGATCCACCAAGCCCATGGCTAAGATTCCCCTCAAATCATGGAACTTTAGCTGCATAGAATTACAGCCATGTCTTAACTGTCATCTATATGCATATGTTCTGCACAAAGGTAACAGCAAGATAAAAAGTAGAAAAGATAATCAGAGATCACATGGAGAAGATGCCTGAGCTTGGCTCAGGATTGAAAAGGCAATAAAGGCAAAAAGAAAGAAATACATGTAAAATAATACCAACTCTGTAAAGATTAATAAAAACCCAAACTTGATATTAATTTATGATACAAATATCCCAAAAGGTTAGAACCTAGAAGCAAAGGGGAAAAAAAAACTACAAGCTGAGAAAATGATGTAATGAAGCTTTTATAGAAGAGCTGACAATTTTTATCCAGTCCAAAGACCAAGTTGAAAGAGATGGTAGATGGACATATCATGGTCCATGGCAGGGCAGGGCCAACAGTCCTACCTGCACTGATTATTCTTCACAATCTGTTAAAAGCAAAGCAAATAATAGAGGGGATGTGGTGGCCACAACAAGCAAGTGAAAGCTATTTGATCCCATACACTTGCCATTGCCTGCCCACCTGCACATGCTCTGCTTGTCTTCCTATGCCCCTCTTTCCACACACTTTTTTTTTTCCTAAGCATCTCATTCCAATTTAGCCCTCTCAGGCTCCCACCAAGACTTTTACAACAGCTAATATAAATACACACAACCAGAGTACATAGCAACTTCTAGATTTTAGAGTTAGAGATAATAAGCTTATTATGCTTATTGGGTCCTAGTCTATGCCACACACATATATATATACGTTCATCTGTAGCTGTCTGTTCTTGTAGATTATTTTGTGATGTGAAATTATAAAGCAGCAGGGGCTGCAGAAGCTGCACATTGGAGGTGCCGTGGGCAGGTGATCAAGTGGTCATTTGTGAGGCCAGCTGCTTGCATGAATGAGTGAATGACTGTGGGACCAACAAGCCTAAAACCTCTTCTAACCATGTCTTTGCTTATGCTCTCTGACTTGGAGTTCTTCACAGGGATCTTGTGGCATGACTTGTATTGGGTAGATACAGGCTTGTGATTCACAAATCCCCACAAGTACTTGTCAAATGATCCAACTTCCCTCTTTATCTGTAAATTGAGTTAAATTAATAAAGTAAAAATAAAGCAATACACAATTTTTTTATTAATTAAAAAAAAAAAAAAAAACTTATAACATATGACCTGTAAATGTAAAATCTATCAAATATATATATATATATATATATATATATATCTCATAGAGATTATGTTTGAGTTTTATCTTATAGTACCTGAAGAATTCGTTTAGCATTGTCAACAGCTCCTCGAACAAGGCTTATATCTATACCAGAATCAGAACTCACTGACGTTATCTTTCTTTCACTAAATTTAGCCACAACATCTGCATCAAATCCTGAAAAGGACTCCCTGCATAAAGAAATACTGCATTTGGTAAGATTAAGAACAAAGTAGCTATATTATTGGTTTCTTTCAATATTTCTAGGACTAAGAAGAGTAATGGAATTTTGAAATCACACCCACCTCAAAGCTTGCCTTTTCCTCAGGACTGAAGTCCAATCTGATCCAACTTGAGCACCAGTTAACACCAGCAATTCAAGCAACAGACTGCAAATATGACACAAGCAAATTAGCTATTTAGCTTAAGAAATGTATGTGTGTTTGTGAGAGAGAGAGAGAGAGAGAGAGAGAGAGAGAGAGAGAGAGTTACTTATCATCATGGACAGGAACTCCCCATTCTTCATCATGGTAAGCAACATATATGGGGTCTGCAAACAAGTACACCACAAACACGTTATTCAAATGTCTTATAAACTTCCACAATCTGTCAACAACATAACCTTGTCTGTTAAGCTGCATACCTGAGTTAGGTGTGATAAAAGTACACCGCCTTTGGTCTCTACTAAAATCAGTTGTAGCTGAAGCATAAAGAGGAATCACTTTCCCTTCATTTTTTGCAGACTTGGTTCTTCCATAATGGGCAATTCGCATCTTTCGTTGTTCTTGCATTGTTGCAACTTGCTCCCTCCTTGCAGCTGCTATGCTTCCTGGTGCCTCCACTATCAAAGAGGATATATTTTTCAATATACTTTCAGCAGAAGGTGCAGCAGCTACAGAGCCACTAGACTTCTTTGACTTTTTCACAGAACTTGTAAACTTGGTTGTGCACCGAGGTGTCACAACCTTCTCAGCACTAGAATTCAGCTCATTTGGATCTTTTCCTCTCTTGAATGCAGGTGGTCTAGGTGAAGGCAACTTGGGAGAGATGGGAGGAGAAAAAGAGGCCTTAGTTTTAGCACTTGGTAGAGGTGAAGGCAGAGGAGTCGGAGCAAGAGGTTCTTGGGAGCTCTTTTTAAGAGACTTCCTTTGTTCCAAGCTTGGAAATTGATTGCCAGTTGGCTGGAGAACCGGACGCCGATTCATCTTAGGTGTTGATGGAGGAACACTAGTGGTTCTTTGCAACTTTGGTTTAGAGGAACACATTTTATTTGATCTTTGTGTTGAATATGAAGAACAAATGATGAGTTTGGTGGTGAAGGAAAGAGAGGAGGAGAAGATGAAGAAGCTCAAGAATTTAAGGAGAGCCTAGGAATGAAGTGGGGGATTTTATAAGACAAAAGTGGGGACATGGCACAAGTTTGGCTAAGTTGTAACATGGGGGGGTTGGGGTCTGCCATACACAACCCTCTTGTGAGGGGCAGGGGCAGCACAACTTTTTGGGGTCTGTGAGGGCATAAGCTTGAAAACGACACCATCCTAACTAAGTCTAGAGATTATAATTGTAATTTTGATGAAGCAAAAGAAATTGTGGGGATAGTTTTGTGGTGGCATTGCCAGCCTTCTCAGGGACCCTTTTTTTTCCCCACACTTTGTGCCTTTACTGCTCAGTCTCCATGCGTCCTCAATCCCAAGTTGAAGGAGTGGGGTCCATGAGAGTAACCAATCATTGCTCTTCTCTTTTGAGCTGGATGAAAAGATCTCAAGATTATGATATGCTAATCAAACTGTAACCAACAGTGCCTGGCTTGACCAAGACATATCAGTTTGAGCTCTTCAAACTAAAATAGTTTAAAGTTCTTTGAAGGCTTTTTGGTTTTTATTATATGATTTAAAAATAGTAATTAGTATTTATAAGCAGGTTGTTTGTCTGTTGGTCAAGTAGGTTTTCATTTCTAATCTCAAACTTTAAGTCAAAACCTAACTCATCATAATGACAGAAGTTAAATTATTAACACAGCCAATGGGTTGTGCAGATTTTCCACAGAAAATAAAAAGAACTCAGAGAATAATTTGCATGATCAAAGATGCCTGCAACCTGTAGTTGTAGACAACAAAATTACTTGAGTGATTTAAAGTAGTAAATTACTTGCATAATTAGGCACTGGGTCCTACTCATTTGGGCAGGATGAATGATAGCCATCAAATAGTCCAGTAACTTCCAACTGTATCCAATATGCAACATGACTGAATTAATAATAGTAAATATGGCCATGGATTGGCTGACTTTGAAGAATTTTTATGGCATTTGAATCTGTAGGCTGATTTGAAGTGGTTCCCAACATGTATGTCATCTGCAGTTGAACTTGTTGGATGAGCCTTAAAACACATTCCCATCAAGTGTCTTCTCTCAATCCATCACACGTATTTCAAAGAATTTGGAAGAATTTGTCAAAGTGAAAAACTTGGGTGGCATATAAAAACATGAAATCATGCAGGGTTGTTCAAGAGAAGAAGCAACCATATAATATTTATTAATAAAAGCAAGGATCTCTCTCACACCAGAGGCAGCAGAATGGAAGGAAAAACAAAGGGTAGGTGAAAAAAGTCACTCTTGACATGATCCTAGATTGAACCCCTCATGAACTCCTAATTTTTTTTTCTATCACATTTTTGTTGCTTTTATTTTATATTAATTTCCCTGGCAAATAAAGAAGTAGCCAAAATTTGTTTGTTGGGGTTGAGCTTATTAGAAAATGATGTGACTCATCATAGGCTTAGCTTTTAGGGTTGGAATTATTTTCCACCCATAAAGGTGTAGGAACTACAAGGTATAGTATTACTAGATGGTTTGGTTTACTAGATGGTGGTAGTTATAGTATTTGTCACAGAATAATTTTCTAATCAATATAAATTCTTCAATCACAATCACAAGATAACAAGCCATGTGTTTTGAGTCACCTATAATGATGGAGATTTGTGAATCGACAAAAATTAGGCAAACAGACAGGGATGATGTAAATTTGCCTTCAGTCACCTCTTTGTCTTATTAATTAGGACAGAAACCAACATTATCAATACTTCATTATTTTCTCTTCCCTCATAATTTATTTAGACTATTCTCTCTCATATCCAACTGAAAAATGAATCCAAATGGTATAGGACAATGATTGACTGATACTGGGTATCAATCTACAGTACTTGATACATTGTCGATATATCAAACAATGTAATAACTACTGTACCTAACAGTCACTCTGTTGCATCCAATAGTAGAAAATGCATGCGTACAAAAAAGTTCATGACAAAAGAGGCGGTTTTAGGCATGCTATGGTGAAGTGTAACAGGGGGTGAATGGCAATTGTAAGGCAATGCAAGAAAGCGAAATAAAGCAAGAACACAACAGTAAAACGTCAAGGCTGCATGTAACATGCCTCCAGGATCCATAGGTGGAACTCTTTTATTTCTGAAAATGATAGAGGGAACATTTTCAGACATTTTTCCAAATCCAATTGGATCATGATAAGGTTGTGATGGGATCTTCCTTATTGTCTTGGAGGGAGTAAATCAATACCCAAATTGCATTATTGTTCGTACGAAAATCAAATGGTGAAGTTGTCTTACCCCTTGGCTTGGAATAGCTAGGGTTTAGAGACATGTTGTCACGAGAAACCTCGCACAATGTACCCCATCTATGATTGGATTGGACCAATAATAATTCATATCAAACCCCCTTCCGAGTTTCTAGTACTTTGTGGGGGATAGGC